TTCTCTCTTTCCCTCCCTCTCTGTCTCTCCCCCACCCCTCGCTCTCTGTCTCTCCCCCTCCCTCTGTCTCTCTCCCTCCCTCTTGCTCTGTCTCTCTCTCTCCCTCCCTCCCTTCTGATCTCTCCCTCCCTCTCCCCCTCCCTTCCTCTCCCCTCCCTTCCTCTCTCCTTCTCCCTCCCTCACTCCCTCTCCCCCTCCCTCCCCCTCTCTCTCAGTGTTGGGAATTCCCCATAACTGGCAGGGGAGTTCTGTGGGTTGGAGTCTGTACATCGTCTTTGGGTTAACGTAAAGAGAAGGAGAAGAAACAAGGAATAGGGTGGGAAAAGAGATGAAAGGCTCTCGTTGCTACCCTGCTTCCCCCTGAAAATAAGACCTACTGTGTTTTTTAACCCTGTTTTTTAGTTAGGACTAATATAAATCCTACCCCGCCCCAAATAAGACTTACTTAAGAACCTGCCAGCTGGCTAGGTGGCCAATCCATCTTGTTGCTTGCACTGCCACAGCTACGAGGTGTGGAGCAGGAGCCCGCCTGGCCGCTGGCACACTTCTGCTCGCTCGCAGCGTCAACAGAGCAGGAGGCCGAGTGGCACCCCGGAGCCGCCGTAGCGAGGTGAGGCAGGTGTCGGGGGCGTGGATGGCCCTGGTCGTAGGATCCTCAGGTAAGCCGGTGCAGGGCGTGTGGTGCAGCTCCACCCCCTGCCTCATGGGGGCAGCACTGGTGCACCACACAGCCTCCTGCCCTGCTGTACATGGGAGGGGGGGGGGGAAATAACACGCCCTCCAAAAATCAACCCTAGTGCTTATTTTGGAACCCAAAAGAAAACAAGACCTGGTCTTAATTTTGGGAAAACATAGTATTAAGCGGGCTGAGCAGGGGTGTGTGTGTGTTGTGGTTTCTTCTACTGCCCAATTCGCTCAGGGACGCGCTTCGGGTGTGCGCATGCGCTTGATGCATGCTGCATGTGCAGTAGGTAAAAAAATGCTTCTGCAAAAAACAAGATGGCGCCGCCGATAGAACCGGTTTGGGGGCGCGGCCAGCCGAGTTACTCGAACCGAGCCGAACTGGTAGAAACCCACCTCTGGGTGCCGAGACCCACATTTTGGTGGATCTGAGGACAGTTGGACCCATGTCTCCAAGAGATGGACCATGAGGAAGGCTGAGGCCTTTCCCCAGCGGCTATTTATTTATTTTTATTTACTTATCAAATGTAGAAACCACCCATCTCACTCACAGAGCGACTCTGGGCAACGGCTATTAAAAATGCTTCACCTTGGCTCTCCGTTCGTCCATTTTCAGATTCCGCGAGGTCCACGTTTATGCGTCTCTTTGGAAGCATCTGGACCTTCGGTGGTTGATGGACTGCCTGGGAGAATAGCCCGCTTCTGTACCGCAAAGTATCCTTTGGAAGTCTCATCCTCCAACCTCCTTTGAACGTGTCAAGTCTTCCATTCTCCCTTCTCCAGGACGTCCGTCTCTCGCCCTCAATGTTCTACCTTCTACCATCCCGTGAAGACAGAGCAAAGTCTGCCATCTTCACCCAAGTCTTTATCTCTCGGCTTCGTCGGAGGGATTTCCTAGATCCCCTGGTGGGGATCTGTGCTTCACAATTGTTCCTCGTCAACCCAGATGGTTTTCTGCTGCTCTTCCCAGACTTTATCCTTGATGATCCGGAGAAGATCCTCCAGGCTGCTCCAGGAGTCCGTCTCCAACGAGGCGTAAAGGCAAGGTAAGCCCTCCAGCTCCTTCTCGTTCTGACGACACGTCCTCAGCAATTCGTCCTCCAGTTCTGGTTTCGGTAGCAGCTTTCTGCAGGGCCGAAGAAGAGAGAGACACCCCCCCCCCAAAAAAAACTGTTAACCACGTCTGCAATGCACCAATTGAAATATAAGCAAACACACACTGGCATCAGCTGCTCATCTCAACACTGAATACCAGTCCCTCCGTGTCTCTCTCTCTCTCTCTCTCTCTCTCTCTCTCTCTTTTTCAGTGCTGTTGTAACTTCGAATGGCCACTAAGTGAACTCTTGTGAGCCGAGGACTGTGTGTATTGGTAAAGGAGATTTTGCAAGACCAGAGATCTCTGTCTGCCTGGCCATCCATATTTCTCTCTCTCTCTCTCTCTCTCTCTCTCTTTCTCTCTCTCTCTCTCTTTTTCAGTGCTGTTGTAACTTCGAATGGCCACTAAGTGAACTCTTGTGAGCCGAGGACTGTGTGTATTGGTAAAGGAGATTTTGCAAGACCAGAGATCTCTGTCTGCCTGGCCATCCATATTTCTCTCTCTCTCTCTCTCTCTCTCTCTCTCTCTCTCTTTCTCTCTCTCTCTCTCTTTTTCAGTGCTGTTGTAACTTCGAATGGCCACTAAGTGAACTCTTGTGAGCCGAGGACTGTGTGTATTGGTAAAGGAGATTTTGCAA